TCGGTATTGGAGTTGAATTTACACGTACTGTCTGAACTTAGATACGTGCGTCCCCCAGTCAAATTTAACGACGACATGTATTCATTAATAGATTCTACGATATCGAGTGTTGACAAGTATAGCTCTATCCTTCAAGTAACTTGGATCGTCGGCTACATTCTTGAACATCGGAAACGTACTTTCAACAATTTTTGCAATTAGATCATCAGATGACTCTAGTAATAGATCATCTGGTATGTCTATCGGAGAACATCCATCATTTGTACCCCCCAATGTTCCATCTCCAATGCTCGCTATCTAATCAGCAAAAAATTCAGCTCGTCACGTTCATTCGAATCGCCAATGCTCTGAAGACGCATATTCTTTGTAAGCCTAAGCACAGTACATTCTCCCCAAATGCTACCAGAAGGATTTGTTGAAAGTCTCCACCAAACACAACAATCTTGCCTCCGAACGGTTTATGATGATTTGTCGGGTCGAGGGCTCCCATTACTGCCTTAAAAGATGCTTGAACAGTTTCAAAACAATGCTTATGCATCATTGGGTCCTCATCCCATATGATCAATGAAGAGCGAATAATCAATTCGGCAAGGGGGCTAGCCTGATTGATCTCACACGATGAATTTTCATGCACAGAAATAGGAATGACAAATCGAGAATGTGCAGTTCGTCCGCCCGACAACAGGAGAGATGCTATTCCACTTGATGCAACATAAAGCACAATTTGACCGTGCGATCTTAGCCGAGCAGCTAAAGTCCTCCACAAGTATGTCTTTCCAGTTCCACCATAACCATACACAAAAAACACGCCGCCCCTACCAGAATGAACAGATGTCATTATTTTGGAATAAACACCCTTCTGTTCATCGGCCATATGTGTCAACAATGTATCATGCTCATTAGCTAGAGCCTTACGGTCATAGTTAAGTACATCCAAAACCAGACGGTTCGCACTTGAATTAATACTACCCATATATGGAAAAGGCATAGTAGAATAGTCCTTTATTCCAAACCCAACCAAACTCAACCCAACATAATATTTATTTTATATTTATTAATATATATATATATATATTGAATATTATCTACAATATTTTTTTTTATTGTATTAGTTGTGATATGATAAAATAAAAGATATGATAAAATTGATAAGTTACGATTAAGAAAAAAGAGTAAAAAGATAGAAATTGTAATTATGTTCCAAAATATATCAAGAGTGGTCTCTATTTATAGAGAATGAAAAATAAATTTTTATTTATTTTTTTCATATAAATTAATATCAATAATTTGAGTTACAATTATCTTATTATAGAAAAAATTTATAGACCAATAAGAATGGGACACTTGCCCCATTTCACTCATCTCTTTTCTCTCTCCCTCCTTGTGGCTGGATCCAAGGTCACAATTTGAACTGGGTCACGGATTTTGCTATTTTTTGTATTCTTTTATTATTTTTTAGTTGGTGACTTAATAAAGATAGTATAATATTTATTTTATTTTTATTTAGTTATTTAATAAATATTATCTACAATACATTGCTTGGTATTGGTTTATCTACAACCTAACCCAACATAATAATTTTAATTTTGTTCCAAAACATATCAAGAGTGGTCTCTATTTATAGAGTATAAAAAAATACGAATTGTGATATTTTTTATTTTATTTTTTAAAATAAATTAATATCAATAATTTGAGTTATACTTATCGTATCATATAAAATTTATAGTGGACCAATAAAAATAGGACAAGTGTCTCATTCATATTGCATGAAAGTTAGATAATATAGAATCTCCAAAAAATTTGCATGTAATCTTTTTATTTAGATTTTTTGATTTATTTGTTTTTTCAAAATTTTTAAAATTTGTTGAATGGCGCTCAGATTTCAATTTTTTGCCAAAAATCTTTAGTTTCATTATATCGACTTTAGGCGGGAAATGAATTCTTTTTTTTTTTTGCTGATTTTTTTGAATCTTTTTTCAAATAAATGCCTCCCCTCTTTATATATTAATAGATATCAATATCTAACCAAATTTTGAAAAGTGAATAAAAATCGGATTGTATCAATTTATTCGTAAAATTATGGATGCTCATTAATTTCTTATCCCAAATTGTCCTAACATTCTAAATTTAGCATGTAATTAATGAAATTGGCGGGAAAGAGTTTCTAAAAGTGAATTATATTAATCCTTATTATATATTAATAGATTCACGCAACTTGTAGAGAGATTAAAACATGTATTGTAATTCACGCAGTTGTCCAGACGGGTATATATTGCGTTTATGTTAGTATATATTCAGTATATGTTGCAATGAAAAACATGTTTTCCATAAAAAAATATGTCTTCTAGTTCACGCGGTTGTCCAGGTCCGTATATGTTGCATTTAGTATATTCAATATGTTGCAATGAAAGACATGTCTTTCATTAATTTATTATTATTATTATTATTATTATTATTATTATTATTATTATTATTATTATTATTATTATTATTATTATTATTATTATTATTATTATTATTATTATTATTTTGTTTAACGTTCATTGAAACGTAGGTGAATCGATAGTTTTTTTTTATTAATGATATAAGTGTTGTTTTGAACAAAAAATTTTCTAATATACCAAACATAAACTAAGATGTACAATAATTATACATATCTCTAAGATGTGCATATATTGTACATGTAACACCCATAATATTATTTACTATTTATAGAGCTCGATTTTATTTTCATAAACAGTCAGTTTCCAAATTCGATGCATTTATTATTATTACTTGCATTAAATCGAGTAATTACTATTAAGTTTAAGCAATGTAGAATTATTCGATTTTAATTATTAAAATCAGATTCATTTTGTTCAAGTATCGGTTCAAATTTTAAAGTCGAGCCTTGGAATAATCAGAAATTTCATTAAGTTGGGCCGAAGCCCAATAAACGAGCGATTCCATTTTAGTCGGCCCATTTAAGTTAATCGAGCCTATGTTCGATTTTATTTCGGCTCATTTCATTTAATCGAGATCATGTTCGATTTTAATTTAGCCAATTTTAAAAATCCAACCTATGTCGATTTTTAAATCTCGGCTCAATCATTTTAGTAAATTTGACCGACTAATCTATTTATTCCAAGTCCCAATCGATTTATGTTACCGAGCAATTAGTTCATAAGTCAACGTTGATTAAATCAAGCTCAAGTTGACTTAAATGCACTAGCCCGATTTTAGGATTGTTAAAGCCCAATTTTGAAGCCCACACAAGAAAACCCTAGTCCTCCTTGAGAATTAAAGGCGCTGTATATCTTTTTAAAATATATTATTCCTTAATTAATACAACTAATGGTGTATTCCAAATCTACTCCATTATATTATTATTTTGCGTTTTTTAAAATAATTTTTTTAACGGAGGTTTTCTTCTTCTTTAGAGGAATGTTGCGGTTACTTTTCTTTCTTCTTTTTATTTCCCACGATTCTGCCTTATTATTTCATCTTTTCTTGTTTCTCGTTTTCTCCCACTGTTCCAGATTTATTCTTCATTTTGTGCAATTTCTTGATTTTATGTTTTTATTTTTTTATTCACATGATAACATCTATTGGTAAAGGGTGTTTGGTTCTTTATGTATTAGTAGTTCTTGGAGAAAAACGTAATTTTCCATAATTTTTTTAAAAGTTAATTCTGTAAATTTCAGTTATTGATTTATGATTTGATGCAGTTTGATTGTTGTAATGGTGATTTCTTGGTTGTTGTGAAGTATATTATCTCACATATTTATTTATTGTTAATAGAAAGTTGTTTTTATGTTGTTGTTATTTTGTTCTTTTGTTGTTTATTGTTAATTGAAATTTGTTTTTATGTTGTTGTTATATTGTTCTTTTGTTGACACTCAGTGTCTTATTTTCTATAAATTATGTTATTATTATATTTTAAGTTTCAATAACAAACTTTTTGTTTTGCTTATTAATTTAATTGTTATTTATGTATAATCTAATTATCTAATTTTTTTTTATTTTTTTTTCTGTGATGATTTTTCTTATGCATCATGGTTGAAGAAAAATAAAGAAGAACAAAAGAAGAACAAAAAAAGGACGGAAAAAAAAATCAAAAGATAATAGAAAAAGAAGGAAGAAAAAGGAGGAAGAACAAAAGTGAACAGAATGACGTGAAAAATAAAAGGGAAGGAAGAGAAGGAAAAAAAGAGAGAAGAAAAGAATAAAAGAAAAAGATGTTTAATTTTTTGGATAAGAATAATTTTTTTTTTCATTTTGTAACTTTTAAAGCGAATGAAAAAAGAGTAATTTTGGAAATATGTGTAGCCGAATTGTTTAATGGAAATACTTTTTATTAATAGATCAATTCATATTTTAAATATTTCTTAATATTAAGTGATATTTAATTCAGATTTAGATGTATTCGCACTTGTTTAGTCCCTTAAAGAGTTCACCTATAAATAACCAAAAGATAAATCCATAAATATTTGACTACACTAAAAATATTCCATCTAAAAATGTAATAAGAATTATTAATAAGTAGAAAGTGAGAGAATAACTGAAAAGATGAATTAATTAATATGGTTGGTACTTCTTTATTAGAATAAACCAGTTGATGAACACATACAAATCACCATAGGGTCACCAGCCCCAAGCCCGCTGAATGATTTTTAGGGTCATTGCTAAGAAATATACCCTCGCCGTTGGCCACGTAGTTATAGACGCGATAATAAGTTTTGAACATAGAGTCCCACTCGCCATTGAATACATCCATTTGCTTCAGCTTTGGTCCCCACCAAAAGGAACAATAGAACAACGTTCTTTTGAACAAGTTTGTTCGAAAGTGCCAACTGAAAGACTGTCCGGGACGGAGTTCGTGTTCGCCCAAATCATCGTCTCTGGACTTGCAGCTAATGAACAGACTTGCTGTGTTCGGGGGCACTTCGCAAAATATGTTGACCTCGTGTCTGCCGAACATTTTGCCTCCAATTACAAGTACCGAATGGTGCGATAATACGAGGAATAACATGACTAGAACGATGACAGTACGATGAGTGCGTGCAGTGGCCATTTCTTCAACTGTAATTAATTTCATCTATATGACTCTTCCTCATATTTATAATGTGCTTAGTTGAATTGCCAGAATTTAACATTGATTACAAGATTGCTATACACAGTACAAGATTATGTATATGTGAATGTGATTATCATAACTAGTTACAAGATATATAGGATTATTATAATCTTATTATTATGTTAATTTAATTTGATCCAAAATAGGATATGAAAAAAAGGTTTAAAAGATACGTTGTAATACAAAATTTTGACAGAAAAATACATGTGTGTAGAACACACAATCCTTAAAATAGATTCGCCCTGCATGAGCATCTGTATTTCCCGTAATACAACCGCAAAACCAAATAAACTATTTGGCGACGCGGTTGTATTCAATTGAGACTTTTAAAGACTTTCTGAATGTTGGTGTATTCAATTAAAACTTTTAGAGACTTCTAAAAAGTACTCTACATGTATTAAATTGGAATTTCTAAAAACCAACACTTGAGCATTGATCGTCCTCCGCGGCTCATACACGATAGAATATTCACTTAGCTCGACCGCCCAATTCACTAGCTGACCCGAAACTAAGGATCGACTGACTGTCTCTCCAAGAGCCATGTTCGTCCGCACCTTCACTCTATGATTCAGGAAATATGGTCTTAACTTTCTCACTGCTACCACCACAGCCAAAACATCACTCGACTCACGTAATAGGTCAGAAATTGAGCAGTACCCAGTACCCTCTTCATGAAGCAACACTTAGCTTACTGCCCTCTCTCCGATAGAATGTAAAGTATCAAATCCTCCCCATGTACTGGCTTAGCTAACAAAGATAAGTTAGCCAATACGCCTTGTAACTCCTCAAATGCTTTATGCGCCTTCTCAATACATTTGAACTTCAAACTCTTTTTTAGAGTTTTGAATAATGGACCACTTTTCTCGGTCACCTTTGAGATAAATCTTCTCAAACCCGCGATCCGACCAGAAGCACCTGCACCTCCTTCACACTCGTCGGTGACTTCATCCCCACAACTGCTCGAACCATCTCAAGATTCACCACGATTCCACGCTTCGTCAAGATAACCCAAAACTTTTCTCGACTTCACACCAAATGAACACTTAGTCGGATTAAGCTTCGTCCCAAACCTCCTCAATGTCGCAAATGTTTCCCTCAAGTCCATGACATGGTAAGCTTCCACTTTACTCTTTACCAATATATCGTCGACATACACCTCCATGTCCCTCCCCAACTTCTCCTTAAAAATCTTGTCGACTAACCTCTAATACGTTGCTTTAGCATTCTTTAGTCCAAAAGGCATTACCACATAAAAATTGTTCCACTGCTCGTAACAAAACTCACCCTCTTTCTATCCTCTTGAGCCAGGGGAATCTGATGATACCCCTGCGACGCATCCATCAAACAAAGCAACTCACACCCGATAGTGGAGTCGACCAGCTGGTCAACCCTGGGCAACAGGTACAGGTCCTTGGGGCATGCCTTATTCATGTCTCGAAAATCAATACACATCCTCCACTTTCCTTCTGACTTAGATAACCACTGTGTTAGATAATCACTTCGGGAATTGAATCTCCTTGATATGGCCAGCTTTCAACAACATTTCCACCTCATGCTCGATCACTATATCCATTCGGCCCCATGATGCCTTCTTTTTTTCTTTATCAGCCTCACATTGAGGTCGACGGTTCGGAGATTGATAAATCTACAGAACCGTACCAAATTCGAAGATTGCCAAATTCGATCTCCGGAACCGTACCAAAAAGTCGGTTCAGTTCGGTTCGGAGATTTTCATTTTTCAGTTCGTTTCGGTTCGGTGTTCGAGATTATTGGGACGATTCGGTTCGGTATGGTTTAGTTCGGATCTTCAGAGATTTTTTATTTTTTTTTTAATTTTTTTTGAATGACTACGTAGTTATATTTTATTTTTTACCCGGGTTCCTTCAACTTGAACTGTCTCCGTACTTGCAGAACCCAACGCCGGGAGGGGTCCCGACATTGGGTCTCTGATGCCTAAGTCAGTACTTGATCAAGAGAGAGAGAAAGAGAGTGTAGTAATGAATGAAGAGAGAATGAATTAATGACATGCCTTAGCCCCCTTTTATAGGGGGAGTGTACATTTTTAGCTCAAGTTGGGCTTGGCCCATACCATATGTCTTAGCCCATTTATGGATTTATTCTCCAATATATCTTTACTAGTACAATACCCGTGTATTACACGGGTGCTTGTTAAAAAATTATTCTTAAATTTTAAAATTAATAAAAAATTGTATTAAATTTAGTTTACTTTTTTACAAAAAACAATATATTACTATATATTTTAGAATGATATGTGTTACTTATGACTTACACAAAAATTCTATGGAGCAATCGGATTGTTTTCTTATAGAGCCATCCATTACTTAATATATTGACACCTGTCCAAATTGTATTTATTGTAAGACACGTGTCAATACACTATTGGTGAATAAGTGTGGATTGCTCCATAAGCCGAGCCATCCGATTGCTCCATAGCAAAACTGATGACTTACATGTGTTAATTATATTAGTTTTTATAACTTATATCATATAACTACTTGAAATATAAATATATTAGTTGATAAATAATTTTATTTTTCTAATTAATATTAAAAATAATTTTATTATTGTTATAAAGATAAATATAAATTATTTTTTTTATACATACAATATGGATGTTAAATCGAAACTTATCAAAAGAAGATAAATTTGATATATTACATATGTAAAACTGATAAAAAATACAAAAGTTATTAACTTTTAAAATATATATACAATTCAATAGTTATAATAAGGAATGATATTAAAATACAATTAATACATGTAACATGACCATAAATAATCAACATATTTATGGTAATCCGAACCTAATTATTTTTTGTTTGGAATTAAATTAAAATCTACCCAAGCCTAATAACGAAGCATGTAATTTTGCCACATAGGATTCCGAAGCACCAGAAGCAGCCACGTAGGCTCAGCGCATTTTGTATTAATATATAGGGGGGATTATCCATTAAAGCCGGTCTAGTATAATATCATATATCATCTAGTCCCCCTACTCTTTTCGAGTAAGCATAAATCGATCCAAGAGTAAAATGTCTCTTCGGGCAGCTTCAATTAACCTGGCACTGAGTTTATAATTTGAAAAAATTCTCGACCACAAAATAGTCATCAAACGTCCAAATGACCATGGGACCCAAAGAACACCGAATGACCTTTATGGTCAAAAACTGAAAGACCTGCCTCTGAGGTCGAAAACCGAGTGACAGCCGATGAGGTCGAAAGCCGAGAAACGAATGACCACTGAGGTCGAATATTGAGTGATCGTCGATGAGGTCGAAAGTCGAGAACCGAATGACCACTGAGGTCGAATACCGAGTGACCGCCGATGAGGTCAAAAGCCGAGAACCAAATGACCACTGAGGTCGAATACTGAGTGACCGTCGATGAGGTCGGAGGTCGAGAACCGAATGACCACTGAGGTCAAATACCGAATGACTGCCGATGAGGTCGAAAGTCGAGAACTGAATGACCACTGAGGTCGAATACAGAGTGATCGCCGATAAAGTTGAATGCCGAGAACCGAATGACCACTGAGGTCGAATACCGAGTGACAGCCGATGAGGTCGAAAGTCAAGAACCGAATGACCACTGAGGTCGAATATTGAGTGACCTCTGATGAGGTCAAAAGCTGAGAACCGAATAAACACTGAGGTCGAATACCGAGTGACCGCCGATGAGGTTGAAATTCGAGAACTGAATGACCACTGAGGTCAAAAATCGAGTGACTGTTGATGAGGTCGAAAACCAAAAACAAAAAACTGAATTACCACTGAGGTCGAAAACTGAAAACCGAGATACCACTGAGGTCGAAAACTAAAAACCGAGATACCTGCCTCTGAAGTCAAAAATCAAAAACTAATAGACCACTGAGGTCGAAAACCAAGTGACCGCCGATGAGGTCAAAAACCAAAAACCAAAAACTGAATGACCACTCCCCGATGTCTTGAATTTGAAAATTTAAACTTACGTCTACTGTTTTACGATCACCATGTTCGAGCTCTCTTCGACCACATCGTCCTTGATTTAAGATATTATACTAGACCGGGTTTAATGGATAAAACGAATACATATTGGAGGATAAAGCCCACGTACGGACTATGACATGCAACATAACGATATGGGCCAAGCCCAACTTGAGCCCAACAGGTACACTCCCCCTATAAAAGGGGGCCAAGATATCAAATATCTCTCATTCTCAATTCATTCCATACTACACTCTCTCTTTCTAGATCTAAGCACTAACTTAGGCATCGGAGGCCCGACGCCGGGGCCACCCCCGGCGTTGGGTTCTGTAGGTACGGAGGCCATTCGAGTTGAAGGAGCCGGGTAAAATTCATTACGCTCGTATTATTGGCGCCATCTGTGGGACCCGTCAAAAAGTCAAGCGGAGTTCCGACTGAAAAAATTCAAAAACCTCCTTCTTCTTCACCGGCCGCTGCCACCGCCGCCGCCGGCCACTGGAAAACGTGCTCCGATCAAAAAATTGTTTAAATCATCAAATAGATCTCCTCGAGGTGAATATACCCTTAAAATTTCATGCAAAAATTCATTCGGGAAGACCTTCAATTTCGTGGTCAAAGGTTCCAGAACTAGGGAAAAATCGGCCAAAATGGGACATTCAAATGCATTTTCCCGGCAATCCGTGAGGCTATAGAAAATCCGAGGGTACCCCTGGAATCCTCTCGACAAGACAAATCTCCAGCTACCGATCTTCGCCGGAAACCGCCACCCTCGCCGCCGTCCGCCGCCTCCTCCGCCGCCGGCCGCCGGTCAAAGTTGTCCGATTAGAAAAATTCTTATGTCATTTTAAAGCTCTTATCACG